CTGGTTGAGTCCTTTAGGTCTCCTGGGACACCCTTCACTTTTATTTTTCCGTATTACATGTTTATTTTGGACCCTAGGTACAGAGAGTTGAATAAGTCATACTTCTCAGTGCATGATGTGTTATTGTGAGCTCAGTTCTTGTTTTATTTATTCATTTTCCCCTTCATCCCTGCTACCTGTTCCGTGTTCCCCATGACCAATCTTATCACTCCCCAAAGGTCCTCATACTAATGTGTTTAATATACCCTTGAATTTGTATGTGTCCTTATAAATTATGCTGTGTTCTGTATGTGGGTGCGGCTTACATTTATATACAGAGAACTGCATTTTATTCTTTGCATTCTTCACTCGATTATGTATTTAAGCTCCATCTACACCACTGTTTTGACTTCTGGTCTTAAGATGACTGCCACACAGATCTTGCCGCTACAGCCCTCAAACTCAACATCACGTTGAGTTTGTTGCAACATCACGTTTTTTATTTTCCCCACCAAATCTATTCTACCGCACACCTCAAAACACCACCCCAAATACCGAAAGGCTAAATGCTTTTCCTCTAAGATTGGGAACCAGCCAAGGATGTCCACAGTTCAACGTGGTGCTGTAAATCCTAGCCAGTGCAATAAGGCAAGAAAAAGAAATGAGAGGGATGTTGATTGGATAGAGAGAACTAAAATTGTCCCTATTTGTCAATGACATGATTGTCCACATAGAAGAGGGCAAGGAATCCACATACATAAACACAAACTCCTAGAACTAATAAGCGAGTTTAACAAGGTCACAGGATACAACATTAAAACATAGAAATCAATTATATTTCTCTATACTAGCAATGAACATTTTAAAACAATGATATTATAACAGTGCCCTTAAAAGTGAAATACATCAGCACAAATCTAACAAAACACAGGATCTGTGTAATGAAGACTACAAAGAACTAAATGCATGGAGAGACATACTATGTTCATGATTGGAAGACTGAACATTGCAAATATATAAACCCAAATATATAAATATAATACCAATCAAACTATAGTGATGAAGGACAGAGCTGGCTGTCAGGTTTAGGGATGGGGGCTTATATGACTACAAAGAGACAGCACAAGAGAGTTTTTAGAGTGGTAGACTTACTGTATCCTGATTATTGTGGAAGGTATACAAATCTATACATGTACTAAACTTCAAAATATTCATTCTACAGTAGGGTAGCCAGAAGCCCCGCCCTTGTATGGGTCACCATTGGTGACCTCTTTGCTAATTTTGGAACCAGCAGCCCTGTAGTCAGAGTTCTGCTCTGCTACTCGCTTGCTTATAGTCTTGGGCGAGTCACATCTCCTTTCAGAGCCTTGGTTTTTCATCTACAAAGGAGGTCCCTCACGGGCCTTTTTCATCTTGTCTCTGTCCTTTATAGATTGTTTATATAAGTTCCCAGAGAGTAGTGTTTTTATTTTATTGAAATATAACATATATAAAAAAGCGTCCATATCATAAATTGACAGCTTGTTGGGTTTTCAGACAACCCACACAACAAACCAGCATCCAGATCCATCAACAGGGCTGCACCTCACAAGTCCCCTGTACCATAATTCATCTTCACCTCCGCCCCGCTGTAGCCTTTATCTTGTCTTCTAACACCCTTGGTCAGTTTTTATACTTCGTGTCTTTGGAATCACACTATATGGTTCCTTGGGTCTGCTTCCTTCACCTTTGCAAGATTCATCTATGTTGTCTTGTGGAGTTGTCCATCATTCCTTCTCATTGTTATGTAGATTTCCATCTTGTGAAACCCCACAATGTATCTATCCGTCCTGCTAAAGGTGGACACAGTTTCGAGGCCATTATGAACAGGGCTGATATAAACATTCTTGTACATGTCTTTTGGTGAACACCTGTATGCATTTTTCTTGGAGGTAAATGAGTTAGAGGGCATGTGTATGGTGTCAGCTCTGGCAGATGCTGTCAATTTTCCAAAGCCGGTCTATACTCCACAAGCAGTGAACGGATATTCTGGTAGTTCCACATCCTTGTCAACACTTGGACCTATCTGTACATACAAAGGAAGGATGTGGGGTGATTCTTCCCTTCCCCCAAAACTCCCTTAGAGCCCTGGCCTTCAGCTGAGTAAATAAGCACCGGAGTACAGACAAACAAGGCAAAGTCCTTGCTCTTAGACACTCTCAGTGTGGTGGGTGAGGTGAATCAGGAAATAATCATTACTTTCAAAATAGGGAGGTACATGCAATGTTTGAAATGGTATGAAGTTGAGGTAGTAGATTGTCATGAGTGATCATCCTGGAAGCTTCCTGAAAGAGGTGACTTTAGTTTTTAAACTATTTTGAATACTTTAATGTATTGATATTCTATATCAATGTGATAACATTTTTATAATAATAGGATTTACTCTAGAAACGTTTGGAAACTAAAGTAGAATAAAAAAAAAAGAAAAAGAAATTATCTGAAATCCCACCACTCAGAGTTAAGTGCTATAGATGTTAGATGCAGGGTATTTCCTTTCAGTTCGCCCCCTCCTCTCCCTCACTGCTCAGCTGGGTTTTTAAGGAGCCAAGTGGATAAAGAAGGGGATTGAAAAGCACAGGGCTTGCAACTGGTCACACGTCTAGTAATGCTGGGTGTTTTGTGGGGTGTGATGCCTAAATCCTCTCCTCTGGGCACTGGAGTGCAGCAGCTACATTTTTATGGTTGAATCAAGGTAACTTTTTCCAGTGGTAAAGTGGTTTCTTATCTATCTCAACACTCTTAACGGTAGAATATTGCTCATCTCTGCTGTTTCTCATGTGAAAAATAATAAAAATGGAGCCACTTCAAAATGGAGTCGGAGCTGCCATCCCAGAAGAACTGCCTTTGCATGTCTTACTCCTCAAACCTTTGCAATGTTAAAACTGGACAAAATAACCTTCGGACTGAGCCTAAAGCAGCATTGTATCCAAATAACTGTTTGCAAAGATAACAGGAAAGCCAAGTCATAATGACTATGAAAATTAATGACATTCTTTAGAATTATCATCGCTGTGAGTTTATCTGCACCTATAGAGAAATTTCTTCCTTAGTGGATGTCCACCCATAGAAATTCCTTCTATTCATGTAATTATTCCCCTTCCCTTTCTCATAAATACTCCATTGCCTTCAACTCCTAATCTGAATATTATTTGGGTTTCTACCTGAATCGGTGCTTCCCAGAATTGCAGTTCTTTTTGGATCTCAAATAAATGCTTGTTGCCTCTCACTCTGACGTTTTTCAATTTTTAAGTTAACACACAACAAGTGGAGTAACCATTTTTATCTTGGTAGAAATAATAAAGTTATTTCCCAGTGAAACCCTTGCCATTTAAAATTCCTTATCTGCCAGCAACATTTGTACACAACGGGATTAGTACCTTTCTCGGCTGCCTCGTGAACCTAACAGGATGACCACAATTTGAAAGTGTTCCTGTGCCCTTAATACACGCTTATTTTAGGAGATTTGTAAAGTTCAAAAAATAAAAATAAAAAAGAAGAATTGATCATTCACAGTCCTACCGCTCTGAGAAAGCCACTGTTAACATTTTGGTGTATTTTCTTCTAGTCTTTTTTTTTTTTTTTAATAACATTTCCAAAAATATTATAAAGGTAACATCTCAACACAGAAGAAAATTTGGGAAATGCAGAAAAAATAATTGGAGTCATCTGTAATGTTACTATCCAGAAATGGCCACCCTTACTTGCTAATCTTTTCTTGTATGTCACTCCTATAGTTTTTATATCTCTCACTATAAATGACAAGTTCTGGAAGAGAATGTAGCAAATGTAGATGTCCTACAACAGAAAATGTAGGTGTTGCTCTAAGAAAGGGTGGACTCTTTTTGCCTCTGATGTGCTTGGGACGCAAGTAATTAAAAGGCTTAAGACTAATGTTCTAGAACAGTGCTTTTCAAGGTGTGGTCCAGGAACCAGCAGCAGGGGCATCACCTGGGAGCTGGTTGGAAATAAAATCAGTCTCTGGGTGAGGCTGGGGGTAGGGAGCAGAATCTGTTTTAATAAGCCCTCTAGGAGATTCTGGTGCATGCTACGGTTTGAGAAGCATTTCACAGAAAGACTGAACTCTGGTGGGTCTGGGCTTCAGACAATTAAACGTGAGAGTTCACTCGGGAAATGAGAAGGAGCCACTTTACAGCATGGCACTCATTTAGACTTCTACAACGGTTTGCGTGATAAGCTTCTTGAAGTGGGGCCATCTAGGTTTGTTTCCCAATGCCTAGCCCCAGGCCCGGCCTATAATAGATAATCAACAAATGCTTATTGAATGAATCAGCAAATGAATAAGTGAATGAATAAATGAACTCTGGAGCTGTGCCCTACATGGCCTTTTTTTTTTTTTTTTTTTTCATTTTTAGGATCGGAACATCGCCTAACATCAGCTAACGGCTGACTGCTGCCAGCCCACCCCATCTCGTCCACATCGATTGTACTTCTGGGCTCCAGAGAGAGAGAGAGCAGGTCTTGGAGTGAACCATGATTTCACCATTCTTAGTGCTGGCCATTAGCACCTGCGTTACCACCTCCTTAGTGCCAGGTAGGATTGGAGGGTGGGGCACAGGCAGAGGGATGGGAGACCTGGTGCAGGTGGAGTAGGATGAGCTCAGTGTCCACGTCCAGGGTCATAGAACCATCCCAAGTATTTAAGAGCTGGAAACAAATGTTCAAAACGGGAGATTCCGGCTCTGGTACTGCATGTGCTGGTGTTGTAGGTCAGTCTCTCCCCCTTTATATTTTCCTGTTCTTTAACTGGTGTTTCTCTTCTCTCTAACAATCCAAATATAACTTATTCTATAAACTCCTCCAAGTCTTGGCATGCTTAGTCTTCTGTTGTTGGTTTCGTCTGCTTAACTCATGGAGTAGTACGCTTCCTTGTGGTTTGTGATTCTTGCTTGTGAACTCATCTTCAACAGGAGTTCTTGTTTTTTGTTTTCTCTCGGAAACTCATATGGACGTGTGGTATTGTATTTGATTTTTCAACTAATTTTAGATAAGTTTTTATATTAATTTCTCAGATTGAGGTTCTTACGCTACAAATTCAGACCCCACTTAGACCTGGCTTTGATTTGGAGTAGCCTGGTTTGCCTGCCATAGCTCCAAGGCCAAATGTGCTCATTAAAACAGCTTCAACCTAGACCTGCATCTGGCCTGTCACCTCAAGGGTCCCTCAGAATTAGCTCCTGTTTACCACTCTGGTTTTGAATTCCCTCTTAATTTCTGCCTCCTGGGGATAGCCCTTCCCTCTTTTCTTCCTTTTTCAAGCTACGTAATGTTTTTGATTTTTTTTTTTTTCCCCAGCATTTCAGTATCTGTAGTTGTAGAGGGGAGCCCTCCTTGGCTCAGTCTATTATGAGTCTGCAAGCCCCCATTTATTATTCAAGTAAGATGGAGTCTTACTTTCTCCATCTGTTCAATGGAGATAATAATTCTCCTCCTTTAGGCTGCGATGGGAATGAAGGGGACGGTCACTGTGTCTGGCAGGGCAGTGGGAGCTCTTAGGAAGAATATTTTTCAATGGATTAGGATATTGGGATACAGAGAAGGACTGACCCTCCCAAATCGCACAGCAAGTCAGTAGCAGAGCTAAGAATAGAACCTGAGCTGCTGGATTCCCGGGCCATCGCTTCCTCTGAGATCCCATGATACATTTCGGTGTGTATTCTTGGGAACCCAAGGTCACTCTGGGACGGAGTCCCTGCTTCTTCAGCATTCGCCACCCACCTGGGTAGAAAGTGAGCAGAAGGATGAAAAGCGAAAGAACGAAAAAGTGACAAAATGAAAACTCTTCAAATAGTGAGCAACTAAATTTTTCGAATCTGCTTCATTTTAGCCCTTCTGATGGATGTGTGGTGGCAGTACATTGTGTTTTCTTTCTTAAAAAAAAAAAAAAAATCAGGTATAACTCACACTAAACTAAACAAATCTTTCATATATAGCTTGATGAGTTTTTACCTATTTTTCTATACCTGTAACTACCACCCAGAATCGTAAAGAACATTTCCTGTCCTGGGACACCAAGGGCTTTCTTGAGCCCCTCCCGACCAAGCCCACTCTCTACCTTTAAGCCAGGGAAGTGACTAGGCCTACTCCTGTCACTATAGGTGAGTTTCGCCCGTTTTGAACTTTGTATAGATGGAATCATACAGCATGTACTGATCAAGTACTCTATGTAGCATTGTATCATGAGCATTTGCATATGTCATTTAATGGTCTCTGAAAACAGTCGCCTCCAGATACTCCATTGTCCAAAGCCATCAATGCTTAAATTAGTTCTCTGACAATGAAGTCAGACAACCACTGAACCATTTTGAGGAACAAGCCCTGGGATGGCTCTGTTGAAAAATACAAAGGCCCTTGCAGGGAACAAACACGGGGAATTCGGCAAACTGCTAACGGAGATTTTGGGGAGAAGAAATGACAGATGCAAGGCAGGCTGATTGAAGGGGCGTCTGCCCCTTCAAGGGCTAGGGGAGGGCATGTCGTAGGTGGTCAGGATGGGTAGGAGTTCACCCAGATGGCGCCCAAATAGCCAAAGCCTTGGTTGGCACCGTGGTGTGTGTGGAGGAAGGCAGGAAGGAGTAGGAACCAGCCCTGAGCCAGGGGGATCCCTGATCAAAACCACGGTCCCAGGCTTTATCTCGTTTAATCCTAAAACCGCTTGTAGATAACTATGTTCTCCCATTGTCCTGAGTAGAAACTCCAGTGAAAGGAACTTGCCTGTAGGCACCAGCTAAATGGAAGGGCCAGACTACACCTGGGGACTCTGTCAGGAGGGTCTAAAATTGGTGAGCTCAGTAGATACCCTCAGAAGAGAAAGGTGCTGCTGGGGCTGCCAGGGGGGAGGTGGTGGGCTAAGAAATTGTGGGTGGGACTGACATAAGGGGAGGCCTTTGGGGGTAGGGGCGTAGAGTGTGGGTGGATCCAAGGCTGGAGGTCAAGAACTGCTTCCTTCTGTCTCCTTGCCCACCTGAGGCAGGAGCACAGACTCATAGATGTGTGGGTTTCCTGTTCCTCTTCAGTGACTCTAATCTTAGGGCCCTAAGTTTCATTTTGTAACTTAGCAGAGGAATAATGATAACCACCCCATAAGGCCATGGGAGGTGAAGGAGCTGTTACTGTGTGTGAAGCACCTGGCCCTTGCCTGAAAACCCCGCTATGAGAAAGACCTGTGCTCTTACCCACAGCCGTCCTGAAAGGCAGCGTGGGCCTGAGCTGGGCCAAAGGATGAGGATCGTGTCCTCAGCCCCACGCAAGGAACACAGCCTTGGACATGACCCTCCCACCTCTCCTGGCTTCAGCCTTCCCTTCTATGCCATGGGAGGCCATTGAAAGAGAGAGTCCCCGAGGAGCTTTTATCTCCAGGCTTCTGTGCTCCGATGGGCAGGGGTGATGAGGAGAGCCCAGCAGACGGTGGGAAGGGCCCTGACCCCGTGGACAGGGATCCTGGGCCTCTGCTTGGAAGAACAAGGAAGCCCAGGTCTGGCGATGGAGTTATGAGGGGCAGACGGAGTGGGCTTTTGAACCTCTCCTGTGAGTCAGGTGTCACATGCCTTATCTAATCCAGTCCTCATAAGACCCTGAGAGGAAGGTATAAACAACTATTTGAAGGTGAGGAAACTGAGACTCAGGGAAGTGACTTGTCCCCACAGCTGGCACTTGGCACAGCAGGGGGTTTAATTGAGGGCTATGTTCTTTCCACTGGAGAATTGACTACTGGAAGACAGGTGGGCAAGAGAGGGAGAGAGATAGAGAAGAGCGCATTCC